GAATAATGGTTCACTCATTTCCTTTACTGTGTCGTGATTAATGAATAAAAATCTTAAGAAAGTCAACATCAATCGCGAACGTTCTTAGCGGCATTCTTTGAAAAGAAGCGAGAGGAGATCTCTCATTGAAAAAGAAACCATTGTTTCGAATTGAACGAGACACGAAGTCGAAAGAGATGGCGGTTCGAGATAGCTTCTGCCGATAGACTCGGGATACTTTTGCCGTTCGCAAGAACAATTCGAACACCGGTCTCATCGTTCCCAAGACGGTACTTCTTACCTTTCGAAGGGTGTTTCTCCTTCATCTCGTCTCTCGGTGCCATTCTAATTTTTTCCCCTTGCAGCTTCTCGAGGGAGTATCGAATCAAGGGAAAAAGGTGGGTCGAGAAGGAACGTCCTTTCCTTTCCTAATTTCTCTTGTCTCGAAATTGAACCGTGACACAGTCACGCGTCGTCGGAAAATCGTTTCAAATCGACACATGAATGAATCGATGTGGATCGAAAGTATTTTGGTACGAGGTAAATCGAGTCGGGGGAACGTTTCTTCGCGGTTGATCAAAGAGATGAGGCGTGGCACGGGCGGCGGGCAGAAGGCAGAGTGAAAGAGGAGAAAAAGTGCAGTCCCGGTCACGTATGGATATCGGCTCTTAAAGTACGACGACTAGCTTTTAACGAATAATTTTCTACCTCGGAAAAATTCACGTAAAATTGCGAATATCCGGCTACCCTCTGATCTGTCCTCTCCGCGCTTCGAACAGATAGCTTTGTAGGGTCGCGCGATGGTCGAATGAAAGAATTTATAGCGCGTGTACGTCGTACTTCTTCTTTTTCTCTACGTACTTCTAGTCGGGCGGTTTGCACGTACGAGACAGCGGGTAGGTGAAGCGCTCGATTTTACGCAACGCATTTAGCGAAACTTCCAGACATCGGAAAATGTGCTACCCTTTCTACGGCGAGCCAGGCCAATAGTCGTACGTCGAGCAGTTTCACGTGCCGCGGCTTCGATAATCTTTCTCTACGGCTATTGCCCCGATCGTTATCATTGCCTCGTAGACTGCATTCTTTTCGAATGCGGTTACGATCCTGCATCGAGCGCACTTGAGAATATCAAAGCATCCCCCGGACGATTCTTACCTCAGAGAGACTGCATAATGAGCTTTGTGTCTTTCTCGAAACGACTCGTTGCTCTCTACGCCGATTCGCCTTTAGAACCGAACTTTCTCGGTGATCAAGTAACCACTCGGTTTCTGATTTCAATTCTGCGGTAAGTGGAATTTATATTCTATTTGCAGGAAACTTAATTAATCGATACGGTGGAAAATTACGCGGCATACATATCGCATGCAATACGTGCGGTTCGAAAGATCGCGAGGAACAAATTTAGATTGTTGCATTAAAATAATTTTTATTGACATTCGGGAAAGTCGAAAGAAGACAAACAGGGTTAATTGAAATCCATGTTGGAACGATGGTAGCCGTTCCGGCATCCACTTGCGTCGGTTCTCCGGATAACTTGGCCAACTCGACGTCTCGTCGCCCTAAATCTCCTTTGCTGCTTTTAAGCTTTAAGCATCATCGTGGACGCTACTTGCTCGGTGTTCCACCGCGCCGCGTCGTGTACGCTACCCCCGCGTGCTTATACATTTATGCGCCGTTGAGCGGATACGACCGTACACGTCGACTCTCGGAACTTTGAACTTCTCCCCGTATCTTGTGAGCTCCTCTACCTATACCCAGCCGGAAGAATGATAATGTTCAACGAAAAGCTCTCACGTGTTCCCAGCGCATTATCTGTTCGCGCAATATGCATAATCTTCTTCTCTCCACTTGCCTTCTCGCGTTATTCCCACAACATCAACCGTTTAATAAAACGGTTCGATTGAAACCGACAACTCGTTTCTTCGAAAGTTTCTGATGTACGATTAATTCCAGTAAATTACATCATAAATATTACACGTAGCATTTGAAGATTGCCGATTACAACATCGAAAATTACCGTTTAATCTCTCAATAGTTGTCAATAAAGTATTTCATTAAAAGTGTAAAAGTTCGTCGCCTTAATAAAAGTAAGTCCTCAAAGTGTCAAGGAGCGTTTCGGTCAAGCTTTGTGGATGAAACGATCGTAATTGCTTATTACGCGAGTTCTTTTTTCTTCTGCGGAGGACGTTTGAAAGTAGTTGCGACGAGGAAATCTCTTTTTGCACCCTTTTCAGCGTAGAGTGCTGGCCAGCAGGCGCGCCCTTTGCGGTCCTACGGCCTGGAACGGGTAATTAAATATTTCTACGCGGCAATGACCGCTATAAACAGAGTCGTTGAATAGCGTAATTACAGGCCGGTGTCCAAGCGGCTTATCAGCTCGACGAAGGAAGGGAAATATTTTCGTGAATTTCGCATGGTTCCATGAGGAAAAAAAATTCTGACCCGTCTCGGTGCTCGGAAACGTTGTCGGTACACGGTTTAATGGGCGTACAGGCAAACAACGATAATTGCGGGTTAAATTTTGTTCAACGTCTGGCAAAAGAAAACGACGACGCCTATGAACGCGTACACGATTTCCTTCCTGGCAGTGCCCCTCGTCCAGTCGCGAACACGACCGACCGCTCGTTTCCCTTTTTAAGTGAATTTCCGACACGGAAATGAGGTAATAATAACACTGATGAAAAGAATCTTTTTCCCTCGTCGAGAACGCGTCCACCGCGAATAAATCTTTACACGAACGAAGCAAAACTGGTCACGGTTTTGGGTTGTTTTCTCGCGCATGAAAAGAGGAGACTGGCCTATAATCGGCGAGGATTGGTCGTTCGCAAAAACTCTCGACGACACAGTGTCATTCATTTTCCTTTTTCAACTTCACCCTTTCGCGAACAACGCGACGTTGCTCGTCCCACGATTGTTACGTAACTCTCCCTGGAACCGGCTGACCCCGCGGCCATTGCCGGTGGAAAAATGCAAACTATTATCCGTGACACAATAGGCTCGACGAGGCTTTCACTCGTTATCGATAACGAATCGCCTTCGGGTCGACGACAATCGGCGAAATCGTTCCTGTTCCATTTCTCAACGCGGCGTGACGCGCTGCAACCCTTTTACGGACGATACCTCCGAAGACTCCTCGAATTTCTATCACGACTCCCGAGGTTAAAATGTATCCCGGGATAGGGAGGATCGTAATTTCCGATGAGAAAGGGATCGTTCTCTCGTCTCTGTCGTGAACCACTGACTTATTCTCGTGAACCCGCATTGCTTCAATATCGGAGACTCTTTGGAAGCTGAAACACGCGCATCGGTTCGATAGCAGTTCGCTTATTTAAATGCAAAACGGGACGACAGAATTTTTATAGCGTGTAATTGCCTGGTCTATGGGGTAATTTGTATGCACCATCGAAGGACGGAGAGAATACACGGTCTTTCGACGGTTCGCGTTGCGTTCTCGTTCGAACGATATTTCCACGGGGGACCATTGTCGCCTTTCGATTCGACAGGTTATTTGCTCGGACATGGATACGATCGCATGCCAACGAAACCCTACGCGCATTGTGGAACGCGTAGGGAAGCGAATAGAGGAAGAGGCGCATGGGACCGTTTCGCAAGTGCGAGGAACAGAAACTAGTATCCACCCTCCGAGTAACTCGAGAATCCGGATGGCCACCGGCTATCCTTGAGCTCAATTCTATCTTACTTGTGTTTCATCCCCTGGTCGAACTCTCTTTTTCCTTTTACCCTTTTCTTTTCTCGACTCCTTTGGTCCTTCCTCGAACGTTTAATTCTCTTTCCCTGTTAATGTGTTTCCGTTCTCTCGCGACCGTGAAACTTTCTCATTGTCTCTTGGAGAATTTTCGAGTTTTCCTCGGATCTAATCGAGTATACGAACACCGAATAAAAGAGTGTTTCGAGCAACTGCGATCTGGAACAATTCTCCCACGACTCATGCATTATTTTTATGCTTATGCGTTTTGTTATTGTATGCCACGATCGTCGAATATTCCGCATCGCGAATGGATCCGAGCGCACAGTTTTTTTTGTACGGCTGTCGTGTTATCAGAAACCACTGTCGCGTTTCTTTTGTCCACTCGGTTCGACGTGGACGTCGGTAGCGACCGGAAGTCACCTGCTCGTTTATCTTCGAAGTTATCTCGCGGAACATTGAATGCGAAAAACAAAATTAATCATTCTGCTTACACACCATTGAACACAATAGTTAGCCACACCTTTGCGATCTTAAAAATTCATCGGTACGAGAAAAAAAGGCAAACGGGAATAGAAATTTTTTTACCTATTCCGCGTTCGACAGTATCAAGAAGAATTTGAATCTGCGTAAAGCGACGAACGAATCCACGTTTCGATCGGTGAATCGGACACACGACGAGACATTCCTTTCAAGCTTAATTCCGGTGTAATTAGAGGCACGCTTCGGCTATAGAACGTCGTCCATGCGCGTCGTTACGACGACATTGTTCCCCAGGCACGGCTATAAATTCGTGCCTTGCGGTTCTCGTGTGCTTCAACTGCACTCGAGTTAACGATTACACTAGAGTTTTCAGTTATTCATTAAAATTTTAACAATTTTACGTGACATCAGAGCACACCAAAAATTTAACTACGAATGGACAAAGTGAGGAACGGGCAGGGTCTCTTCAGGGTTTTACGGGGAGGCATCACAGCTCCTAAACTCAGACACTTGTACATGTATATCCCGCTTTAAATTTCACCTACTTCTTTGTGCCAGCTTTCACCGTTTCCTATGTACTGTCCTATCCAATTAAATTGGCAACTTGCAGAAATATTTGTTTGGAGATATATATATTCTGTAACTCTAAATTTATACGAAATCGATCGCACGTACAAAGTTTGTCAAACATGAGTCAGTACTGACCAGTTTTCGAACTAATCTATTTCAGATTATAATATTAATTTCACACAATTATGCTAACATACACCGATTCAAAAAATTGTTCATGAACTATTTTAAATCTAAACGTATACATCGCTGCGTCGCTTACCCATCTATGAGTGGCACGTCTCTGAGTATTCTGCGAGCTGCCGCGAGCCGATCTCCTGCATGAGCAGCGAGCAAAATCCTCGTCAGTAGCTGACCAAGGACCATCACGACCATCACCATCCTCATCCTCCTCCTCGCTGGACCCGCAGCTCCCTCTTACTAATGTCCTCATGCCATCACCGTCGGCTCGCCCGCAGGATATTCCTCCGAATTCAGCGATTCCGCGATTTCGCGTTTTGTTGGGCTCAACCGGCTTTTAAACTCGGACGTCGCTTTTCATTCGTCACGGTTCATTCTCGCACTACTTGTTCGCCACCGAAGATGAAAACGAAATTTTCAAACGTTCTACGATTACGCTAGTGAAAGTTCTAAAATAATTCTATTATCAGTTCGTAACTGCATTCCCGGGTAATGAGCGGTCACAGATCCATCCTGCTCTCGAAATTCCGCTTATTCCAAAGATATCCGAGTTCTCGCATTTTTGTACGTTTCTTTAAACGCACGTAATCTAGATTGATCACTTTGCACTTATCGATTCTTGTGGTTCAGCGGTAGCTAATCTTTTTATGTCATCGTTCCCTGACTTTGTCCCCAGTCGTTAATAGCTCGAGAAAGTTACCCGGTCCGCTTATTCTGCTTCTTTTTCAGCTGACATCTTGCTAAGTTTTTTCGCTTTTTTCCGCCTCGCGCGACCACTACTGGTACACTGTCCCCTTCTTATCTTTATGCCCGGTCTCCGTAGAGTACGCGTCGACTACTTTTAATTCCCCCGTTGGGATGCTCGCTCAGATAGGGGATGCACTTTTTAACAGGAAGTTTTAGCTCGCCGATATGTCGAATCTTTACTCCTCCGCTTCGATTCGTTGACTTCTCATTGGCTTTTTATCGTAATCTTCATAAGGGGGTTAAGTTTGTCTTAGCAGCTGCTACCAAGAGTTTAGTTCCGAATGCTCCGAGATCGAAATCGACTCAGCCAATCACTTTTCGTCAGATACAATTTGCACAACTGCGTTTGATCAGTACACCGTCTTCGTAACGGCATATATATATCGAGGGGAATCGAACCGGAAACTCTCCTGAGGCAACCGTTTGCTAATTACGTACGGAAGTACGTCTTGCTGCGGTCTGTCCAAATTGGCTGCCCCGCGTGTACACTAAGGAGAGTCTCAACGTCACTTTCCGCGATTTTATATTCTCGAAAACGGCCTGGGTCTGGCGTTCGGCCACAGTGTCGTTGAACACGCGAGTGTTGCGGGCAGAAGATTAATTAGCGGTGCGAGAAGGAAGTCGGCGGTGAACAGGGCCGAAGGCGGAATGAAACGGTGCGGCGAGTCGGTAGGTAGCGAGGCGAGACACGGGCCGAGTCGAGCGTGAAAAGCTCGTTTTGCTCGATCGTTTCCTTTTGGGAACGAGATCGGTGTTCCGGGACAACCGGGTGATGTACGATCCGGTGTCCCTTTAACGTCCTCGGGTCGAACCGCGTTCCCGTGCGGTCTTTTTCATTTGCGACCGCCGCGCGGTCATCTGCACGCGTCGGTGGTACTTCATGATCGCGGGTAGAACGGTATCGCGGTCCACTGTCACGGACCTCGATCGTAAATCTGTCCCAATTAATTCGGCATTCGATTAAGTCTCACGATTAATTACGCAACCACCCGAGAGAGCCAGGGGATAAACCAGTTCCTCCTGCTTGCGCGCTGTTCTCCCTCTGTCTCTCCCTTTCTCTCTCTCTCTCTCTTTCTCTCTCTCTCTCTCTCTCTCTCTCTCTCTCTCTTCGTCCTTCTGGCTTTCTGGTTCAGGCAACGTCAGTAGCAAATGATGGATCGTCCAATCCGATGCGAGAACCTTTTTCTCAAATCTCTGCGATTGCGTTCGCGTGCATGATTCAGTTTCTCATGATCTCCTTCGAGCGACCAATGAACCATTCGTTTCGAGAAGTGTTCCGCTTCAACGGGATATTACTGCGACTAGATAGGAAGAAGTAATAGATGCGTAACGTTGAATTTATTGCTCAACGGAGTTTAACGATTTCGTCGTCGTCTCTCTTCGTGACGTTGACCGACGATGAAGCAATGGGATAACAACGGAGTCTAATAATTAATTTGAAAACTGACTATGGCACATCTTTCGTTTTGGTAACACGGTGACGCGTGAACCCGATTAGCAATTGAACGGCTTAGAGTTTAGAGGAACGCGGTCGAAACAGGCGTCGCCGTTCGTATCGAGCCGTTAATGTCGGCTGCGACTAATGAGTTAGTCTGTTCATAATTATTGGCAGACACGGCGTTATAGGTTCGCGCTTGATCCACAGCCTGATACACGATATTTATCTCTTCGGCGGATGATTAATTAATGTTAACGACATTAACGATTGCAGTCTTTGATCTTTCTTGACGCGATGACTAACGCGTAATGCCTAGCAACGAGATTCAAAAGGTTGTTCCTTGGTATCGCGAAATTCTATACATTCACGCGGCCGATTCTTTGCGATACAAAATTTTGCACGTATTTAAATGACTGAAATTGATTCGACTATTAGCGACAAGCATTTTGGACTACAAGTCCGTGAGATACGGTTCTCTTTAATCGCGTTTAGGTCAGCCATCCAAACCAATAAATACTCGTCGCTTCCGGGGATTAATGCGACCAACAGAAATCCCCTGGTAGGAGCGTATCCCGCGAAATTGCAATTGAAAGGGGCGATAGTAAGAGGAAGCGACGAAGAGAGGAAGAGAGCAGCGTTATAAAAATTCCAGGCAGGGCGCGCGTGCGGGAAACTTTTGCCGGAGAACTTATTCGAACTTTGAACTTCCGGACGTTGGCACCGAAAGTTCCGTCGTTGCCGCCCGCTCCGACGCAATCCGGCGCGGCACCGCGACAACGTTTTCGAAAACTTTCACTGGTGCGAAACCTTCTGCTTCGCCGGTCCCCCCTCGGTGAATCGTCGTACGACGAGGGTGTCAGTGTAACGACGTTCGCAGCAGTCACGCGTCCCCGAACACTCGGTTGCTCGCGGTCCGAAGTTGAAGACCCGACTGATGGAAACGTACGCAGAAACCCGGTATACCCGAGGGCGCAGGCGCTCCTCCCGTTACTCTCGACGATCTTCCTCTTCTCCATTGGGATCCGCCACGACTCTGTTGCTCCACTTCGCCGTCGCTTCGCCTATCTATCCGTACCATGCCTCCTCTTCCGGAACCGGCTATCCCCTTCGACACTTCGTATTCCGATCTCACGCTGGCCTCTTCAACGGGCGCGTACACAGGAACGCCGTCCCCGCAAATTCTGGCAACTTTTTCAAATCTCTGCACTCTATCGCCTACGTACACAGCCCTTCTACGATAAGAGCGTCATATCTTACGATGCGTACAGTTTGAGATCGCGCTCAAGAGTTAAACTTTCCTGTTTCTACATGCTGCCCCGTACAGTGTACTATTTCTTATCTCTTGTTCTTATGCGATATCCTGTATGTGCAAATTTCTTTTTCAAACGTAAAATCTGGAAAGGTTTCAATTTAGGAACTGGGCCAAATTCGACAATTCTCTCCTGTATCTTCGCTGGGGAAACTCGCGGGGAAGGTATACGGATTTAGGTATTCTCTGTATGAGCTCTCTGGCCGAGGGTACGGCTAGCCGCTGTTTTACGGCACCGTAAAACGGATCACCTCGATTCCTTTTTTCATTTTTACAGCTTAGACCAATATGACGTCCGTCTCGGCGAATCGTTTCAACGTGGATGGTCGGCTCTTTTGCCGGGATTCTCTCATTTTTTACGACGATGATTTTCCCCTTTCTAATCTCTTCCAACTGATTCTGAGAAAATTCTCAAAGCTTCTACAAATCAATCTATCAACGATCAGCTTCCTCTTTCTAAAAATTATCTCTCGTAACACGTGAATGGGAAAAGAAACGGAAAGAAAAAAGTATTGTTGTCACGTGAAGAACATCATAGAGCTTCAGTTGATTAATTAAACGTCCACGGATCAATTCTCCTTTTGGCTTCCTCTTGACCAGCGAGAGATTAAAGTTGTACAGGGGAGTGAAAGGAACATGGTATTTGCACTGGGCGAATCTAATTCCCCGCCTGGTAAACGGATTCACTTGACAGGGACGACACCTAGGACTCCTTTAGCTATCGTTTCCATCGAGTTATCCCCGATTCCGTTAGCCTGGATTAATCCGTCCCTATCCGGTCGCCTGTCAGTCTCCCTTTTCTGTCTCCTTTCACGTTCTGCCAGTCACCGAAACCATTCTTCTCGCAGCTCATGTCTAATGCAAATTCCGAAAAGGTTTCGCAGCCGCGACCATAAATCAGCGTCGCGTTATCCTTGGTCTGCGCCGCCGTTTCTTTGCCGGTTCATCTCTCGCGTTCGCTTGAAAACCGCGATTCATCTCGCTCGATGACAACCTAATCAACAAAATTGCGGCGTTTTGGGCAACGCTGTCGTTAGATCGATTGTCCTCTGGTATGGATTGACTCGTTCCGGTTCCGCGAAACTCGCCTCCCGCAAGGCCCAAACCTACTCTCTCGGAAATTAATAATTAATCCCTCGTCAATATTTCATAATGGATTTCACGCGATACGAAATTTCCAATGAATACTAAATCGTAACCGATTCAATTATCATCTCATGTTACGTCTGTAAAAAAAAAATAATAATTACATAACGTATTAAAAATTCACGGTACAGTTTCCAAATGATTGCCAGGACCACAGGGAATAATTAATATTCGCATCGCCATTAACCAGAGCAGAAACGATACACGTGTGTAAATCCGCGTATGAATTCCATGCGTTAAATCGCGCAAGTTCGACTATTTTCCGAACGACGGTGAAATGGCAGCGCGCGCGCGCACCGGAAGCGAGCGATTCTTCGTGTTTCCCGAATATCAGTCGGTTTTTCCACGGCGCGGCTCCCCGGTCAATTTGGCATGCTCGAGCGGATGCAATTTGCACGGCGGGGCAGCGCGCGAGAACCTCGAGAAGACTGGCGGTGATCCAATGGAACGGCACCGACCCGACGACACTCGATTATCACAAGAAACCTGGCGTGATAAGTACGAATCGAATGCAACGTCGAGACACGAACGAATCGGCCTGGTACGAGGCGGCTCGCGGATTCGATCGTCAGTTATAGTATCTCGGTTACCAGGTACGATGTCTCGTTCAAAAATGGCAAGGAGAGCCTAAGACGCGATGCATTACAGAGCTCGAATCTTGAATGAATCGATGGGAAAACCAAGAAGATATTTTTCACGACATTTTATATGTACTTCATATGTACTTCATGTTTAGCTTAGAATTTCGTTGATCACTGAAATAAATTTTCCCGACAGTAATAAATATTTAACCTGGACTTCACATAACAAATACAGTTATGGAAATAAGTAGTGCGAACCGATTGTCAAGTAATTCCATAAAGATAATTTTTAATATTATTCTCGAAAGCTGTAAAGCTGAAAAATGTGTTTCATTTAACTGTAACAGTCTAACACAGAACAGTCGATGGTACTAGAATACTGAAATTCAGAAGCAGATTCGCGTGAAAGAATAAACGATAAAACAGTGATTTTACAGGCAATTTCGATATTGTGCTTATCCTTGTATGTATGTAGCTATCTCAGATATTGTTGCCGCGCTATCAGCTAAATAATCGAAACGATCGGTTACCAGATTCGTTCACATGAATTTTAGAGTTGTTATCACGGCACGGCATCGATCCGAGTTTTATTCCACGAAATATCGCAGAGCAAATCGTGAACGGTAAATAGGATGAAAAAAGAGACTATGCAAATGTTGATTTTATTCCGCGGAACTTCTGACTTATAGTTATATTTGTATTGCAGCAAGTACAGACTGTTTGAGTCCGAAAACTGTGGTTCCCTCGCGTAGTGGTCTCCTCGAGTTAATTAGTGCAATTACATTTAACTCGCTAAAGTGTTCTTGAGGTAATTCCAGTCACCAAGGTCGTACCGAAGATATTGTTCACTGGAAATTAGCGATATTCTCGTACTAAATTAACAAATACGTGTTATAAAATAAGTGTTATAAAAATAATCTATGATATTTCATTGAATTTATTGACGTATCAAAAAGAGATGTATACTTGGAGTTAACGATTAACTATTTTATCCTTCTGGTTGGACAATTGAATTTATACACGATTACGAGTTACGATGTAAACGATGTTGTTATTGAAAGAAATGGTGTGAGAAATACGATGGGCTCATTTGTCAATTGGCAGAGAGTTTAGGACGGTATCGTGTGCTCTACATTTTGTTGAATACATTCGTAGTAAAATCGTATTTTACCGCGTGTATGCTTTGTCGTAATTACAGTCTGTCGAAACGAAACAAATCGTTGGATCGTATCGACACGTATTTTGCATCAAACTGATTTTTTCAGCTAGATGATTGGATTATAAATTCGCATCGGTTCGCGATACACAAATAGTGACTTTAAACAATTTTTTTTCCATTTTCACAATTTCGTTCGGAGAAAAAAGATTGAAATGAAAACCGACACTTTCTCGTTTTCGTACGAATTGTTGCCATCGCTACCGTTGATTATGATTTGGTTAAACGAATCATGAGCGAACTGGTGATTTCCGTAAAAAAATTGATGTTCAATTCCGGTCGTAAAGCCGAACGGCTCGAGATTCTCGACTTACACCGTCGCGAAATCTAATCTGTCCGGGAGTAACGATGATCGGTTGTCGCGTGACTGACACGCCCTTCATCGTTTTATAGTCACGGCGAGATTTAGATGTTTCCACGGCGGATGTAACGGTAGTTTCGACCTTAAGATCGCATTCAACGGGTGCCGGCGTAATAACGACAACATCTGAACGTGTTAACGCGATAAAAAAAAGTCGGGTACGGATTGCTCGCTTTAGGCATGCGATCTCACCGTAGAAAATTGCCAGGTGGGGATGGTGGTTTACAGTTTTCAGGAAACGTTGGTTCGCGTGACGTCGCTCCCTAATCTTCGACGAATAAATTGAAAATTATTACTCATTCGTTTCGTCGAAACAAACCTTTCCTTATCGCCTGAAAAATTCCATTCAGCTGTGCATAAACCTAATCTGTTTCTCAGTAAAACCTCATAACCGAGGATATTTTACTACTGAACATTCTTCAAATTAAAAACGCATTAGGCGTGCAATAACGTAGTTTGAAAATCGTAACTGGGAACGTGACCAGCCGAACGAGAAGAGGGACTGACCGTCTAAATTGTGTCCACGCCCAAAGTGGCGATCTCAGCGTAATAACGATATCAGGCACGTTACGTGATACCTGCCATTAGCTTCGTTGCTCCGATATCGATTTTATTGACCTATCGACTAGCAGCCGGAGAATATTTGGCGGATTCCCTTCGGGCGATGCCTCGGGCCCAGAGGCTTCGTTCGATTACGTCCAGCTGGAAATCCCTGGCCATAGGGACGATTTTTCGTAATTCCTTCTTCCTTACTTTGGCTCATTCTCCGGAATTATTCCGCCTCGTTCCTAGCCGACGACGCGGCGCGATAACCTTGCGCAATAATTCTTTCGATAGCTAGTAACTAGCCATGTCGTGGCTCGTTCACCCTGCGCTCTCTTTTTTTAAACGAACGCCGCGTGTATCGTAACGGTTTATCGATAACGTTATATCCGTGCGCAGTTTTTCCTTGGCATGCGAACGTTAAGCGAGCAGTCGGGCTAAATGAGCTGGCGAACCGGTGTTATTAAAATTTCAAGATGCAAATCCTTGACTCGAGCTAGAAGAACAAAAGGAGGTGGTCCTCTCTTTCCCTTTCTGGCTAGTATCACGAAGACCAGAGGTCGTAAAGGCAGGACGCGCCGAGTCGTGATAGGGCCATTTATCCAGTCTCGGATCGCGAGCCGTAGGAGACAGGAGGCGTGTCGCGGGTTACGAGCACGTGACCGTACGTGTATACACGCGTGCACGCGTGTGTGTCGTCGCAGGTGCCAGATTGTGCCGCACCTGTGAGAAATTACCTCGGGACACGCAGTACGTTCCTCAGC